AACCAGACGAGCAAGCAAGATGAGATTTGACGCATACTTGTGGCGCGCACACAGTCCGAGCGATGGTCGAGCTAATGTTGATCGCATTCCGAGCAGAGAAGCAAAGATCTCTTTCTTCAGCGTGGTCAAGCTGCGCCGATCCATGGGCCAGCGTGCAGAACGAGGCATCACTTGGCCGTGGCTCGCCAGCCTGCTTTGAGCCCAGCAGACGCTGCAACAGTGCCAAACAGGCCGACCCACGCGTCGGAGATGAGACCTCCAGGAACGGACCTGACAAGGAGCGAGTCAAGAGCGACTGTGGTTTTAGCTCGGTGCTAATCTTTCGCAAACCTCCCTCCGCAAGCAGCCGAGGCCGCGTCATGCCATGAAGGAGCGTTTTTCCGCGCTGCCAACTCACCAATGCAGAGTGAGGGGCAAGTACCCCAAATTGACCCAGAGCTGGTTCAATATCGCTTCTTTCCTGGCGTCCAGCTCTTTCCACAATTGCCTCGTCTGTTCCTGCTCGTCGCCCAGCTGCACGTTCTTTTCTGTGCTTGGAGTTCTAGCGGGAGTGGGGTGACCTCTGCTCCTTTCCAAAGCTCTAGCCCTCAGTCTGAGCAGACGATTGTCCTCTACCAAATGCAGCAGCTGAAGCATGACGTAAACCGCCCATGCTCGAACAGAGAGAAGCATCATTCGACCTTGAGCGTGCGCAGAGACTGGGATGATAGAGTGAGATGCTAAGTAGCAGATCGCTTCCAACGGGCAGTACAGAAGCATGGACCAGCCTTGAATGCGCTCAATGTTGTGCAGCAAGCGTGTGGGAGGAGGATTGCGCTCGATTGAAATCATCTGCAGCGGGTTTGGGCTGTGGTGATCAGCAACTTGCTCCATTTGGAATGAAACATTGTCACTGCTCTCCTTGTGACTCTGAGCCGATGTGCTGAGCGGAGCCCTTTTCGTTCGCAATGTAAAGATGGCCAGCATCGCATTCAAATGCTCTGCTGAGCTTTGTATCCTCCTCCTCTAACCCCCGATTCCCCTCAAGTCGTCCGTCCTTCTCAGGTCCTCGCACATCCTCGTGCAAGCTCGCCTGATAT